GAAACCACTGGTTATCTGCAGCACCAACTCACTGGATGGATTCAGCCTATCAGTCAGCTACATTCATCAAAAAGAATCAGTATGGAAAACTTAAGGGCACTTTTGGGGAGCAGATACAGGCCACAATCTTGCAATTAATTTACAGCAAGCTGACCATTTAATCTATTTTTAGCCACATTCAGCTCAGTTTTTCATGGCTACAGTGTTTTGTGTGTCCCCGAAGTGCTGTAAAGTCAAGGCATAGATAAAAGTCATGATTTTCCTCCTAGAAGCTGTAAAATAAATAATTATATGGGCAGAGGAATTTACAAAATCTAATTTCCTGTGATTCACTTGCTAGCTGTCACTCTTGCACACGCTCTTTGTGGGGGTTCTCTATTCTCCAATAATGTGACTGATAATGTTAAATTCCAGAAATCACTCTCTTGGGTAGTATAAAGCAGCGCTCATCATGGGCAAGCTCTTCATCCTTTCTGTCCTCACTGAACCTTGTGAGAAGCAGCCAAAAAAAGGTTCTGTTATAACGATTTCATTTCTACAGGGTGTGTCAAACCCAGAGCAAATCAAAGTAGATTGCTACCATGAGAAAGACTGCCCAGCAGGGATGCTGTAAAAGAAGCAATGGAAGTATTAATGCAATGGGTCCTAGACCCTGAGCACTGTGACTACTGTAGTTTTTGATTCCTGGGGGGTATTGGTTCTTGCTTCCTGGACATGACCAAAGGAATGAGAAAACTTGTGGAGCGCATTAACTGAAAGGAAAAAAAAAAAAAAAAAAAGAAAAAAGGTGTTTTCAAGAGCTGTCTGCATGACATCTATTGATCCCTTGAGACTAAGATCCCATGTGCATGATTTCCAGAAAGGGGTGAGATCACCTGCATTGTCCTACTCAGAGGGATATTGACAACTTATATTTAATCTGGTAGAGAAAAAAAAAAAGTCAGGGTCTGTTCTCCAATCCTGAGAATAGTTGATGACAGGGGTCACACCTGAGCTCTACAGTCTCCCAAACCAGGCTAGTACCTGCTCCATGCATCTTTCCTACCTGTGTCCAGCATTGTCTGGGGCAGCACTATCCAGTCTAGGGCAAAAACATGCCACGGACCATGCTTACACTTGAATGGTACAGAGTATTATCATGTCCCAAAGCTCAGACACATGGCCTGGGTGTCTCATTTATTTAGTGTAAATGTAACTACAAAGCCATTTTCCTCTATGCAGTCTTGGTAACTTACAGAAATTTTAGGGTTATTCTAGGAGAAGACTCAAGTTGAATTTCTTTGGGAGAGATAGAATACTTTATTATACAAAATACCATAGCTGGAAGAAGCAGCAACAATTTGGGACACTCATCTATCCATCAGATATGAAACTGAAGTAGCAAACTTACGCCAAGTGAAAGCTGGGAAAAAAATTGCACTATATTTAAGTTAATTGTGTTAACTCTGGAGAAAAATGCATTTCCAACAAATCCTCAGTAATACCAAACCTCATCAACAGTTTGCAGTATATTTTGTCTCCTCTTTACAGTGTTATCTCTTGCTAAGAATAAAATTCAGATCAAATTTTTTAACAGACAGATTCACAACAGCTTGTGTATCAGGACATGTTTGGCAGTATGTGCCTGACGGGATTTTTTCCACCTCCTAGAAAAGTTCTGCTAAATATTCATGCATTTCCCATTGAAAGAAACCTGATTCTTGGCCAAACCAAAGCTTGTTAGCAGACAGAACAGGAGGGCTCCTTCCTCCCTGCTGCACCTCTGATTCCTGCAGGTTTTGCTTCACACCTGGTCTCTGCAAACAGATGCTCTCAAACCCAAATTGCTCTACTCTGGAAATGGGTTATAATCTGAGATATTGCCAATTCATTGCACTTTTTTTAAAGATTTTTTTAAACTTTTTTGTAGAATGTATAGTTTGTGGGAGTTTCTTATAGTGTTCAGCACCATCTGTCTATCAGAGGTGGCTGAAAAATATCTGTGTTTTTTAAGAAGTTCAAAACAAAGCATGAATTTTTCTTTTAACATATTTTCTTCTTTTGACAGAGATCACACTATTTGTTATTAATGAAAAACAGGAAATGTTACTGAAGAATTTAATTTGTCTAAGAACACTTTCATTAAGAATTGTTTTGTGGTCTTGTTTTCTGCTGAAACCTTTTTTTTACACAGCTGTAAACACAGTGAAGAGAGTGACACAGAGTCACAGGAAGGGCTCTGATTTTTTGGGTACTCAGTACCAGCTGCTGATGAGCTATTTGTGTCCAGGGTCAGGATGGATGTGTGGGGAACAGAGATGGGAATGAGCTTCTGTGCGGATGGGAGCCATCATTAGGAAGCAGACTGTCAGCACCTCCTTCAGAAAGGATGACAGGAGAATTTGTGATGGAAGGGCCTCAGAGGTCTCTACCCCAACCTCCTGCTTAAAGCAGGGGCAGCTCTGAGGTCAGACCAAGCATCTCAGGACTTTATCTAGTCTAGTCTTGAAACCCTCCCAGGATGGCGGCTGCACTGTCTCTCCTGGCAACCTGCTTTAATGCCTGACTCTCCTCCGGGGAAGAAGTCCCTATCTATACCCAGGCCAAACCTCTCCCCTTTCAACTTCAACTTGGGAGTCTTGCATCTTCCCACCAAGCAGCACTGTGAAAAACCTGGCTCCACCTTCTTGATGACCTCCTTATAGGTGTTGGAGGTGACCTTAGGTGTCATCCCACCAAAGCCACCCCTTCTCCAGCCTAACTGGCCCAGCTCTCTCAGCCCCTCCACTCCATCATGCTGACCCTGCACTGAACTTGCCCCAGTTTATCAGTGACTTCCTTGCACTGAGGAACTCAAAACTGGACACAGTATCCAGACATAGGGTAACAAGCGCAGAGTGATGAGAAACTGTCTCCTAAGTAATTGATCTGTGACGAGCCTGTCATGGTCTGAGAGATGTGTGAGATGTCACTTTGCCCCCTGCTCACTCTGTCCCTCTGCCAGCGGCTGCTGCCTGTAACCCTCAGCGACAGAAAATACATACATACTCTTCAACTGTGCCAGGGCAAAGTGGGCTTGAAAAAGAGTGGTAATGAGGAGCAGTAGAAGGTCATGCACATGTTCTCCTCTGCTTCTCCAGCTATGGAGGGTAGTAACTTCCAGTGGGCAGGAGGGCTGGAAAAGATCAGCTCTCATCTAAAGTACTTTGGCCATAAACTTCGAAGTGCTTCCCAAAAGGAGGCTGGATTGCTGTTCCTGTTCTACAAACCAGAAAGCTGAAGAAAAAGGGAAGGAATTGTTTTGGCCGAACTCATCTAGCAGCTGCTGGCGGAGGCAAGCAGGGACTCTGAGCGCTACCCATGTACTGTGCTGCCTCTCCGAGCAGGGATCAGCCCCTGCCTCCTCCAGGCACACATTCCCCAGGTGCTCTGGTACGCGATGGCAAATTCCTACTTGGAAATCAGGCTGGTGGCACGATAACAACAGCCTTCAAATCATGAAGATTTATGGCTTCAAAGCAGGAGTGCTGATCAGAAATACCATGAATTAGTCATAATCTTATCAAAAATATTTTATTTATGAAAGTAACAATTATACTATACAACCTATACTGTGAAAGTACATTGAATAATTGCTAGAATAAATACAGGCAATTAATTCAATCTTTTTATAGAATGAGAGGATTTATTTGACATTTGAATGTTAACCCAAACTTTAACTTACATCATAAATAGTTAAAAGGCATAGTCAAGTTTTTTTTTTTATTTTTACCATTTCTTTTGCTTTATTTTTAATACTGTTCTATTTTGTAATCAACATGAATCAACCCTCCAATCATTAACATAATATTAGTATGACTTTCAAGCAATCATGTACCTCAAGATAATCAGACAAATAAGGTAGTGTGTGTGCAGTTCATTCTACAGCAGAATCTATTCATGTCTGCATAAAAAAGAGAAGCTGAAAATGCTTCTAAGTTCTTTAAGCATCATATGCTGATTTCTGCTTTACCACAGTGCTTTTAATATCAGAACCTAAAAAGGGCATGTATCTGTATGCAGCTGGCTTTCTGTTGCTCTTTGTAAAGTGTACTAGGGCTCAATGCCACATTCCTTTGGCTGGTGAAGGACTGCAGAATTTAAACCTGAATATTATTTCTCAAAATCATGGCCAAAATAAATGTCCAAGACTAATTATTAGGCAACAAGGAACTGATGGATTTGCTAAGGCTTGATGTTTTCTGATAAAATTTTTCTTCTTTTCTGGTAGATACGCTCTAGTCAAACACAAATTACTGGGCTCAGTACTGGGGTCTGTATTACACTGGATGTCAGAGAAGCTGGTGTTTGTATTTTCTGTAAACTGTATGAAAGGCACTGCAGAAGTTTTATATAAGACACCCACGTTTTGAAAGTGTTGATAAGTTTTCCTTCCATGTATTTTTTTTTAACTCAAAAATCTGAACTATCTACTTGCTACTAGCAGATTATAAACAACTCTGACCATTGATAAAGTCAACAGTAGTTTTGGGTGTCCAATATTTCTCCAGATCAGAAGTTTTTAACTCCTCAGGTCCCATACAAAATCAGTGGGTGCTTTCCTACAGCAATGTCTTTTCCAGTGGCATGGAGGTGTGCCTTGCCTTATGGTTATGGCGCATGCCAGGGATGTTATGCTCTCAGCAGAGAAGTAAATTTCCCCTTAACAGTGTTATCCAAAACAAAACCCCAAATTGCACATATCTACCCCTTTGGCCTTTTTTACGCACAAACATGCTTGTATTCAAAAACTGACAATGTTGGGCCTTTCCTAATAAATGTCTTCAAAGAGCACATTTAAACACTTTTTCACAGAAATAACCATTCATCAGTTGCAAAAATGCAGAGAGACTTTTTATTCCTTCTGTTGTGAACAATATCAATTCAGCACAAATTTGGGGGGAGGAAGTATGATTTTTTTTCCCAAATGTATTTAAAAAGGCTAAAGAACAAAATGTTGGGGAGGCAGCTTTTTTTTTGGCAGATAGTAAAATATAAAATATGTGATTTAAAAAAAAGTTGGCTTAAAAATACACACACACAAATAATAATACAATAATATAAAAATACAGCTCAGCCAATGGCCTCTTAAAATTTACCTTTGGCATTACATTTGGCAGCCTAACACAAAAGACCCTTCCTATAAACAGAACTATAAAAAAAGAGAAGTTCATAAATTAGGTTGCAAGGGGTTGTAAGATCATTTTCACGATTCTCCAAACTCCTTTCCTTCCTGTCCACACACATAAGCATGACCAGTGAGGTATATAGAACATAACACTGTCAGGCATATGCACGATAAAAAAGTGCATAAACATAGAAGTTCTCCCATTTTCTTGTGAACAGGTCGAAACTGTGTGGTTTGCATCTTTCCCCCTTGGAAAAAAAAAATAATTTTTTATTGTTTGTTTTTTTTTTTTCTTTTTTTTTTTTACTTTGGCAGGATGAAAATGAACCCAGAGGAATACAAATGTCTTATTCCCAGCAGCAGTGATCCATTTCCCTTGGCAACATTCGTCTGATGCCACAGATACTACAAGGTCCTTGGGTTGCTTTACAACTCTCTGGGTAACTTCCCATGGAAACATCATACATCTAGCACCATGTCATAGTGTTGCTCTTTCTTCCGCCTGCCACATTTGTTGATAAGAACCAAGTACAAAGTCAAAAGCATAACCCAGTAACATGCATAGAGTATTGTGCCAATGATGAGAACTGTCTGTTTTGACTCAGAAAATGGCTTTTTTGATTCCTTGTAGATAGTGAAAATTACGCCACCTAGGAGGATTGTAAACCAAATGGAGACTGGAATGAGTCCTATAAAATTAACTACAATGGTTTTTCTTCCTGACGTGCCCCACCCTGCTTTGTTTATCGTGGCAATTGCAAACATCTTTGCTGGCAGTAAACTTGACATGTACAACACTGAGTAGAGTGACATGAAAACCATGACAATGTTGCCCCTAAGGAAGCTGGCAAAGGAAGACTTTATCAGGCCCACTAACTGAACTGTCAACAAGAAGAGGAGGATGTTCCAGATTTTTCCCCTGTAGAAGAGCTGAATGACTGTAGCGATAAGGAAGAAAGGAAAGAATCCAGTGATTACAGCTTCATAGGTCATCCACAAATGGTGCTTGTGGAACCACATTGCATTATAAAGCCACTCTCTAAAGTATGATTTACTCCAGCGAGTCTGCTGATTCAGCCACCTGAGATACTCTATCGGTGTTTCAGTAAGGCACTTCGATCTAGCTGTGTATTTTGTTGCATAGCCCAGACTTAGCACTCTGTTAGTTAGATGCCTGTCATCTCCGAAGCTGCACTGGGAGCCCATAAATTCTTGATTGTACCAATCTTCCACAAATTCATGGAGTAAAGAGTTTCTGTACATTCCCAGAGGTCCGCTGATGCACTGTACACAGCCAAAATAGGACTGACAGGCTCTTTCTATGTTAAATGCCATCCAGTATCTCACGCTGCTCAGAAAGGAGATCCAGGAATCGTATTTGTTTAAAATCTGCAAAATAAAAAAAGTTTTCATTTTAGATGAGGTCTTGGGATAGAAAATATATGCATTGGATCAATAAGGAATTTGCAGAGACTAGAGCACCATTAGCCAAAATACAGGGGGAACCTCACTCCTGTGTCCAACTCATGGTGAATCCAGAAGTTACCTATACAGTCCAGGACATTGACAGGAAAGACAAGATGAAGCCTTCAAACGTCTGTTCCACCAAAACACTCTTTTTCCTCATAACCTTTCCTATTCTCCACCAAGAAACTTCTTTTCTGGCTCATTTTTCCTTTCCTGTCAGCCTCTGTTAAGGACCTGCTGGACTCAGCCTCTACCGAGAGGAGATGATGGAGTCCCAGACATGGCCTCCTGCTTCTCTTCCACCCCCTGCTCCCATCTTTGAGATGCACAGGACTTTTTCCAGCCCTGCTAAAGCTATGCTGGAACATGAGAAAGGCTGAGCACATGGTCTTTGGCCCAAATTTTTGGTATCATACGGCTGGCCCTAAAGGGTTGACCCTGGACTACGTCCCCATATCTGACATTAGGCCCTCTGAGGAACAACCTGTTCTGATTTGTCTCTGCAGTACCAGCCCTGTTGTGCTGCCCCAAGACGTACTGTCATACTCCAGTAGAGTCTTGCTTTGGCCCGCATAAGGGTCTCAGTCTTTCTCTTCTCTATGCCCCAAAGCTCACCTGAAGCTCAGGCCTATACTTAAAATACAACATAGCCATTGTCTAGGAGTCTGAACACTCAATGGAGGTATGAGTGGATGCAGATGTCCAAGTCCATGTCTTCACACCCAGGTTCTCAGCACACACCGCGTGCTGGGGAATGTGGTAAGGAAGTGTGTAGCAGGGTGGCTGTGCCAGCTCTGCACTGATATCTTCTCAGTGTGGGGATTTTCAGGGGAATCTGTGGCCTTCTACAACTAGCAAACATTTCCCTGCAACTAGAAAAAAATAGTCTTTTGCTCTGATGGCCCTAATTTCTGTCAGGTCTGAAGGCCAAGGGCCAATCTTGTTTCTGTTTCAATTTAATTCCAGAACATTTCAGAAGCAGCCTGGCTCAAATGTATTTGGTGTATGCTGGAAAGTGAATTGGGGGAAAAAAAAAAGCCCAGAGCCTTCATTCTGCCACCTTTTCTCCAGAGGACACATGTCCTTCCCACTTCTCTCTGCAGATGCTTATGAACCTTCACAGTCATAGCTAAATCCATACTGTCTCCCTATGGTTGTACTCACTCGTGCCTGGAATTTCACTTGCGTAGGGTGAGTGTGACACCTGGTTTGTGGTCAGTTCAGAGACTCAAAGATGTTCAGGTTTCTGAGGGAATCTTAATTTCTAGAGTTAAGAGCCACATGCCTGAAATACTTCTGACTACTAGCGCGTTCATTAGTAAGTGCTTGCCCATATAGATGGCTCTTTCTCTTCCGTCTCACATAAAAGTCCAACTGAGTATGGGTGACCGATCCTAAGGCCAATTGAAATATTCATATGTGTTTTTCTTTATAAATTGCAGCAGAAGCAATTGTGTCAAAAGGAATGAACAGCCTTTTACTGTACTTGTCAGCTTGGCAATGCAGGAAATCCTAACAGAAGTGGAGCTGGGCTGACTTGGGGGCTTTCCGTTGTCCTGCCTGACAGAGATGCAGAAGAAATCCAAAAATACACAGAGTGCATAGTGCACTGCATTTCAAAAAGGTTTTTATTCCTAACAATCTTGGCTGCCAGTAGTAACATAATTGAAGTACTTGGGGTGCTGGACTTGGCGCTGGGAGACCTGTTCTCAATTTCCTGCTCCCCTATAGCTTTTCTTTGGTATCCTGAGCAAGCAGTTATACTCAGACACTCAAAGATGCCACAAAAGTCCTGACAATGCCAGTGCCCCACTTTTCACCTATATGGGGCAGGATAATATTTGTTTGCTTTCTATGGATATTAAAACTTTACAGTGCTCACATCGAAGAATAAGAGTTTCTATTCAACAGACAGGTTAAGGTATCATAAGAGCCTCTATAATGATGTCACAGTATATTCAATGCTATTCCAGGCAGAGAAATCTGTTTCAGTGCAAATAGTTGCTGAAACCCCTCTGTTAATCTGAAAATTGTCGTACTCACTTGCACATCACCTCCAACTCCTCCAACCATTGGATCTTCTTCTAAAACTTTTACCATCTCTACTGATGAGGCTGGATCAAGCATTGTATCTGAATCACAGACCTACAAGTAAGACAAAATAAGAACAAAAATGGGTTAAGGAGTACACTAGGGAAGAAAATAAAAATCATGTGAGAGATTGTAGTGGCTCTAAATGCATATTCTCCTGAATGCAATTAAATGGAGTCTGTTGAAGGCCATTTGTATCAGGCAGCAAGAAGTGGTGCTGAACGAAACAGAGTGCTTGTTAGGGCTGTGCATGCAAACAATCCTCTCTTCTGTATCAGCTCTATTTGTTTTACTGGCACACTGGGCTGCAGTCTTTGAATAAGATATACGTTCAGAGATGGGGTACTGCAGAGCAAGACAATGTTTGTGG